CAAAACTCACCCTGAAGGGACTGGATGGAACAGGGCAGGCCACACCCTGGGAAAGACAAGGGCATCAGGCGCCAGGCTGGCTGGGCACGGAGGCTGCACAGTGTAGACGTAGCCACAAGGGCAGCTGAATGAATGCGCCCGGAGAGCTGAGCACATCCGGGCAGGTGTCAGATGGGCACGCCTTCCTCCAGGGGCAGGCAGGCTGTGTGAGAAGCCAGGCAGATGACAGGGGAATGACTAGCAAGCGGGAGAATGAATCATGCATCTAGTCCCTTGGGCAGCTGCATGCGCAGCAGGCCCTCCTGGGGACCACCCCACGCCAGGCTGCACAGCTGGCAGAAAGAGGCCAGAGCTCCTGCGGGGCCTCTCGAGGACGGGCTCGGAGCCTGGCTTCTAACGGCCACCTGCTCCTGGCGTGGGTCCAGAACCGCCTACTGCCTCTGCCTCTGGGCGCAGCTCAAGCCCCATGGCTCCTGAGCAGGCCCAGCTCAGCAAGCTCTGCTTTCCCCTGGTGCCCCCCACCCTCCTGCCCTGCTGCCTCCCGCTTCACAAGCGGTTTCCAGGGACCCTGAAGCAGTGAGGAAAGCAGAAGCTGACGGCCTGGCTTCCTCACCTAGCTCCCTTCACCGGGGGCTCCCGAAAAGCACAGAGCCCAGATCCAACCACCGCCCGGTGGAGACTGGAGCAACACAGACACCAGGCTGTCCCTCACCCTGACTGGCGCTGAGGCATTGTGACTCGGTTGCTCGGGCGAGGCTCTGGCCAGGGTGGCCCCGAGGCGACCGTGACCATACCACTATGGTCGTCCCTGACTCTGGCGGCCACTCGTTTTTCATGGCATGGGGAGTTACAGACAGAAGAAACCCGATTGGCTCCGGAGCAACCAGTGGTCTCCGGCTGAGTGTGATGGCACAGGAGACTCGCTGCGACCCCTTGACCATGTTTTTCAGAGTTGACTCTTCTGTCTTCCTACCCCACGAGGAACCTGGGTAGGCATTCCGCTGAGCTCCGGAGAGCCCCCAAGAGAGCTTACAGTTGTGGGAGGGAAGCAGAGTCTCTCACTGGCCTGGAAGTCTGCAGAGAGCCCCGGGATCTGCCCTCTCTGTCTCCCCAGATTACATGCACACGCCACCACACCCCGACGCCACCACACCGCGTTGCTTTTTGTTGTGTTGTTTTTTTTTGTTTTGTTTTGTTTGGTTTGGTTTGGTTTTTCGAGACAGGGTTTCTCTGTGGCTTTGGAGGCTGTCCTGGAACTCACTTTGTAGACCAGGCTGGCCTCGAACTCACAGAGATCCGCCTGCCTCTGCCTCCCGAGTGCTGGGATTAAAGGCGTGCGCCACCAACGCCCGGCTTTTGTTGTGTTGTTTTTGTGTGGGTCTGAGGAATCAAACTCGGGTCTTGCGTGCCCCTCACTGACTGAGCCATCTCCGTAGCCCCCGGGTGCCCTTCGATGCAGGTGGCCTGCCACTCTGCTGTCACAGTCTAGATGTGACCTTTGCAGATACCTTTGCAAGGGGCCAGAGGCCGCACTGTGCCCCGCGGTGATCTCTCAGTTCGCAACTCCTGCCACAGCGGCTGGGTAGGGAGGGGAGGCACCAGGGGCTCAGAAAATGGGGGTGGCGAGGCACCTGTGTCCTTGGTGGCCCCAGCCCTGCCGCCGGAGCAGCAATGGACGGGGATATGGCCGCCCACGCTCTGGTGTCCTTCCTGGCCTGTGATTCAGTCAGCGGATTTATTGACCACTTAAGCTGCCCGGGGCTCGGGCGGCTTCACCTCAGGCTCAACACTTGGCTTCCTTCCCTGCAGCCATTGTCTCCATCTGAAAATGAGATCAGTAAATCTCAGGCCTGAGGTAGGGGAGCTGGTAACAGCACTGCTGGTGACCAAACAGTCTGGGGGCTTTGCTCTTCTGCACAGCTGTGGCCCGAGAGAGGCCATGGCGCAGTTTGCCTCTAAGGGCAATAACACGGGGTGAGCCTCCATCAGGACCCCTTGTCTGATCAATAACTCGCTGACTAGATGGCAAACGTGGTTGTCTCCAGTTGCAGATTCTGAGTCCCCGTCAGATTCAAGCCCAAGCCAAGATTAAATGGGTACCCGTACATTTTGGGTGTGTGGGTTTAGTGAATTTGCATGTGTGGTGTGGGGCTGTCTATGGTATATGTAATGTACTTCCATGAAGAGGGGGGGATCCTGGGTGGATAGTGTGTGTGTGTGTGTGTGTGTGTGTGTGTGTGTGTGTGTGTGTGTGTGTGCGCGCGCACACATGCAGCTGGGGAAGTAATAGCATAGGGGGCTTCCAAGGGGTGGTGTGAGGTGTGTGTGGTTTGTGGGGTATGTGGTATACGTGTAGTATGTAAGGGTGTGGTATGTGGTTTGTGGAGGTGGGTGGGTTTGGGGTTTGTGGTCTGTGTGTGATGAGGGGTGTTTAGTGTGGTATCTGGTGTGGAGGGCGCTGCCCCTGTGGCTGGTGCCTTAGATGGGTTGGGAGCTCTGGATCCAATTCTCAAAGACTCATGGCAACCCCACGTGCAGCAGAGTCAGCCCTAGACCTCGAGGCGCGCAGGCCTGGGGTGGAGCAAGCACCTCAAGTGTGAGGACCTCCCTGGAGCACACTTTCACAAGACCCCGGGTGATTCCTCAGCACCCTCGGGCCACAGGCAGCCCAGCTCACACAGCTCCCCAGCGCCTGCCTGTGGGGTTCTGTTTGCTGGGATTCACTTGCAGGGGTGGGGCCCGCCTCCACGGCAGCAATGTCTCCTTGGGTCACTGAGTTCCTCACGAGCTAACACTCCCAGATCTTTACTGTTTCTTCAGACCAGCCCCGCTGTTCGGTGCCCTTGGGCCTTGTGGTTTTGTGCAGAACTCCTTCACGGCTTTCTTTATTCTTGGCTGTCTTGTGGGCAGATCTTTTTCCAACCACCTTAACAAGATCCGCAAGAGCAAACACTTTGCTGTTTCTTTTGTTTTCCTTTTTGCTGTCTCGTGTCCTGTGTGGTTCTTTAGTCGTTGTTTGTTCTGGTGCCAGGGGTCAAAACCAGGACCTCACGCAGGCTAAGTATACATTGTACCGCTGGGCCACATCTCCAGCCCCCTCTCTGCTCTGTGGGAAAATCAAAGTAACTCATGGCTGGACAAGCCATCTCAGCCCCAAGTGCCAGGGCACCAAGCCGACAGCCTCGCTGTCTGAGTCCTCCCAACCCTGACCTCACTAAAAGGGAATCTGGCTTGGTGTTGGAGCTCAGTAGTAGAGTATTTGTTCAACATGTGCCTGGCCCTAGGGTCTCTCTCGAATGAATGAATGAAATCCAGGAGAGCCATCCTGGGAATGGGTGTGGCTCAGTGTCACAGTATTTGCCTAACATACAGAAGGCCATACATTTAGTATCAGTTCCCCAGAAAGGAAGGGGACACACTTAAACTTCTGGAAAATTCAAAGAAGCCACCAGCGTCTCCTACATAGCCTTGCCAGAGTGGACAGGAGATGATGGCACCACCTAGGCTGGGAAGAGTGAACCACAACCACACTTTGGGATTAAAGGTTACAAAATATTACTTCCCGCGGGCATAAAAGGTAAGCCCTAAAACAAATTAGTGATTCTAGCACTGGGGAGGCTGAGAGGAAGGTCAGGCAGTCAAGGCTGCCTTGGACAGCAAAGCAAGATTCTGTCTCAAAAATGAGGAGGCCACAAAGATCCTCCTGCCTCTGCCTCCTGAGTGCTGGGATTAAAGGCGTGTGCCAGCCTGGTCTACAGAGCCAGTTCCAGGACAGCCTCCAAAACAATACAGAGAAACCCTGTCTCGAAAAACCAAAAAAAAAAAAAAAAAAAAAAAAAAAAAAAAAAGAGAGAGAGGAGGCCAGGCGCATGCCTTTGATCCCAGCACCCGGGAGGCAGAGGCAGGTGGATCTCTGTAAGTCTGAGGCCAGCCTGGTCTACAGAGTGAGTGCCCAGACAAGCTCCAAACTAAAGCTACACAGAGAAACCCTGTCTCCAAAAACAAACCAACAACAAAATGGAGGAGGATCATCCTGCATCCTATGTTCTACCCTAGTCCAGCTCCCTCTTTCCCTATCTTAGGTCCAAAAGTCCAGCTTTGCCTCTTCAAGAAGGACCCCCTCGGCAGGCTCCCCAGGAGACGTGGAAGCCCAACAGCAGGAAGTACATTGGTAGACATTTGACTTCTTCTTATCCCATAGGACTTAGCGCTTACTCTTGCCAGGATCCACCTGGTTCTCCAGTCTCTGAACCTCAGCCCAGGAAGAGAGATGGAGAGGAGGCAACCCACCCAGCCGGTACCCCCGGCCCCTGTGGGGCTCAAGGAGAGCTCTGGTGGCACATATAGACCTTCACTTTTCCTAGGGGTCATGGAAAGGGGCCCAAGTGTCTAGACCTGGGGAGGGCAACTCTGCTGGGGGGCAGGCAGCCCCTCACACGGTGGTATGGCCCCCGCCTTAGTTGGTATCTGTGTCCTTAGGAAAGAGTATGGAAGAAACGACAGCAGGGAGGACTGAGCAGGATGTGATCAGCTCTGCTCTTGAAAATACCATTGAGGGGGCTGGAGAGGTGGCTCAGAGGTTAAGAGCACTGACTGCTCTTCCAGAGGTCCTGAGTTCAGTTCCCAGCAACCACATGGTGGCTCACAACCATCTACAATTCAACCTGGTGCCCTCTTCTGGCCGGGTGCACTCTCAGTGCCCTTTCTGAAGGAGCGGGCTTTCGTTCTCCCAGGGAACACCGCAAGCTACCCTGGCTGGGAGGCCTACTAGAGGTATGAAGCAAAGGGACTAGAGAAGAGAGGTTTTCCTGAAGGACTGCTCTTGAGGTCAGCTAGGGCTCCAAGTGCCTGGTGCTCAGGGTTGGTCACAGTCAGCGGTGTTAGGACTCAGTAGGTTAGGACCCGAACATTTTTTTGTTTTTTCTCGTGTGGGGTGGCACTATTTGGCTGATGATAGCACTAAGAACATACATAGCATTGCCACGACACATGCCAATGAGTCAGAGCTGTGCCGGCGCGGGCACCGTGAGGAGTTTATGACTTAGCCCAGCTGGTACTGATTCCTTTCCATCTTGGAACACTCACAGGTAACTTCTCAACTGAGCTGAAAGTCACACCTGGACCGTCCACCACGGCGACGTGTCAGCACTCCGATGTGGCTTGGTTGAACACATTTTCCAGGTGTCACAAGGCAATTCAACACATTGCAGATCAGCTGTCGCTCTGCGGGTGAGGACAAGCATCTAACAGTCATAGCCGAAGGCTGACCTCAAGTCTTGGAATTCTATCTGCTTTCAGTTTGCATGTATTTAATTATTTATTTATTGGAAACAGAGCCTCACTGTGTAGCCCAGGTTGGCCTTGAACTCACTGTGAAGTTCAAGCTACCTTGAAACCCCTGATCCTCCTGTTTCTACCTCCCAAGTGCTAGGATGACAGGCATGTGCCATGGAAGCCATACTTCCTTTCCTTATCTTATCTCTAAGCCAGACACTGCTCCAAGGTAATTTTAGCAAGAATTCTCTGCAGATCTATTGCCCCAAAAATACTTACATCTGACATGGCCATTTGTATTCCTTCTGGGTTCCTTCTTGCATTGCTGACTTCAAGCAGGCTAATTAATTATTTTAGACACCACTATTAAATCGACACAGTGATTAATCTGATAATCCTTTTTATGAAATTACCTCTGAAATGCTAACTTTTCATCTTTTGAAACCCACTGTGTAAATTACTCTGAAGATTACCTTCTACAGCTTTTGGCTCCGTAAATCTTAATGGCAGTGTTTTGCCAAAAGCAATAAAAGCTGTCCGGATTTATCAGGTCAGTCAGGGAAGAGGCAGGCAGGAAATTGAAGGTGACTCATACTGCAAGTATGGGGGTTGGGCTGAAGAAACTGCTGGGACTCGCCACTGTGGTCACATGCAGCCAAGGCTGTCAGCAGCCTCAAGAAGCAGAGGGACATGCAGCACCCGAGACGCAACTGCCACGGCCCCCTGTCTTGAGAGGAGTGTAGTGCTTACAGGCGGAGGTCTTCCTGCTCCGCCCCATCGCCTCCCAGTGCACAGGGCTGGGTCACACTGGGTACACTACCTGAGCTCACAGCTGAGGGGACAGAGCATTGCTACTGACCCTGTTCAGCCCCCCCCCCACGGCTCCCCCAGCAGAGGCGGGGAGCGTGTTTGCTGTTGTCTTTCCTCTGCCCTACCCAATGGGCAGCACACTGGACCTCAGGCTGACTTGTCATTCGGGTCACGGTTTAGACATTGCTGCCCAGGATTCCCACAGCCTGGTTGTGGCAACCCAGCCTATAAAGGCTCAGCGTCCCCTTTTCCCGCTAAAGCTTTTCTGGCTTCTCTTCTATTCAGCAGGAACACACTGATTCCCTCTGTGGGCCTTACTGGGCATGTGCTACCTTGCGCTGCAGCTTGTAGGAGGCCCTGCTAGATTGCAGAGCAGGCGGAGGACACCACCTTCTGACCCTAGGTCCCCAACCATCGAGCCATCTGAAAGCGTTTACTGAGCGTCTACTATGTCGCAGGCTCTGAGGGACACAGAAAGCACAGGAACAAGGCAGAGGCCATTCCTGTCCTCATGACAGTGGGATTAATAGTTAGGCAGTCAGCTATATGAAAATGAAGCGAGCCGGAAGGAGGACAGGGCCAGTGGAGGGGTCAGGGCGGAGGCCTCGGGGTCTCCCTGGCAGCACCCTAGCTTGGGCCCTGCCTCACTGAGATTTGAATAGAGACCTGGAGATGGAGGACAGAGGACAAGACTACATGAGGGAGAAGATTGCAGAGCGAACCACTGCCAAGACCTAACAAGGAGTCTAATTATCCAAGGTGCAGCGGGAAGGCACCACAGCAGCAAGACACTGAGGTCGGGTAGCTTTGGAATCCGCAAGCCAAGGAAAGAGCTAAGATGGGCTCTTTCTGAGTGTTTTTTTAAAGATTTATTTATTTATTATGCATACAGTATTCTGCCTGCATGTATGTCTGAGAAGAGGGTACCAGGTCACATTACAGATGGTTGTGAGTCACCATGTGGTTGCTGGGAATTGAACTCGGGACCTCTGGAAGAGCAGCCAGTGCCCTTAACCTCTCAGCCATCTCTCCAGCCCTCCTCCTCCTCCTCTTCTTCCTCCTCTTCCTCTTCTTCTCCTCCTCCTCCTCCTCCTTCTTTCTGAGTGTTTGTTATGCAAGGAAAACCTGTTGGTCTGTTTTGCCTCTAGTCTGAAAGGCGTCTTCCAGGCAGATCACATGCTTCTACTGGCTCATGGTAAGTGAAAAGACTTGGCCCGGGCTGGAGTTTCCAAGGCTAGGAAGCCCCACTGCCAGATTTACTGCGTGGCCTGGGGGAAACAAAGGCACCTCACACAGCTTCCACAGGTATCTGTCTCCACGGCTGCCTCTCCGGGGTGGGAAGATGAATAACCTGTAACTTCTGCCTCTGCTTTTCTCCCAGCTACCAAGTGACAGCTGGTGACAAGGCAAACTGCTTGCTTCCCTCAGCCCCTGTGGAAGGAGTTTCTGAGGGAGCTCACAGGAACCCGGAAGCCAGCCAGAAGAGGCTTCTGACCTGCTCAGCTTGCTCCTCAGAGGCGTCTCCATGTGTGGCAATTACCTGGGCAGTGAGGGAGGACTACAGTCCTTGGGGAGTGACAGGACCGTCTCTGTCCTTCAGGAGGAGTGACCCACACCCGTTATGTTACCCCATGCTGGGACCGCTGTGTTATTCTCATCAGATGCCACACTGAGGAGCTGGGTAGGGATTAGGGATGCTGGAGGCTTCCTCTTGGGGAGGAGAAGGAACTGGGTGGAGGGCTCTTTCAGTCAGAACCTGTCCTTGGGTCTGAGACTCATCTCACCCTGTGGCTGCCTCTTAGCTGAGCTGCCACGGAAGGTTTTCTGTAATTGGCCAGCAAGGTGTGAGGGTCTGGGCAGGTCCCGACAGCTCTGGCACCTGTTTGATATTTCCTGAGTTGACGGTGGCATTTCTGGTGTGAACCCAGCCCCTGGGGTGCAACTGTGTTTACAGGTTCCTGCCCATCTGTCACTTCACTGGGGGGTGTCAGGCTCGTCACCTCCCCTGCCCCAGACCCGCATCACCTCCAGAACAACCCCATTATGAACACAGCTAGGGTCCTTCCTCCCTGTTGCTTTTCCAGTGGGGCCTCTTTTCTCCCTCAAGTCGTACAAGCACATCCGAGAGAGCCATATCGACCGCCCCTCTAGGTTACCATGGAAACAGAGCCTTTTCTTTCCTCCCTCCTGTTTACCTTGGTCAGGGGACTGCAGCAGAAAGCAGCCTGTCGCTGAAGGAGAAGGGAGGGCGAGGGGGATGGGGGCGGGAGCGGGAGCGAGAATCGGCTCGCCTTAAACCAGATCGTTCCGGTTCAGAGTGGCTCTCCCCCGCAGCCCTGGGCCCCTCTGCACGGGGGCTGTGGAGGAAGGGAGGATCCTAACCTGCAGAGCTTTAGTGGGGAAAATCTAGACCCACGGTACCCCTGCCTGAGTTCCATGTGGACCTCCCTGGGTCTCTCCAGGCTAGGGCTTGGCATCCAGGGCATCCTCTGGGGGTGCCATGTTCCTCGGGTTGTCATTGCGCAAGTGTCCACCCCAGGATAAAGACATGGGAGCTGAAGTCCAGCCCTTGCTCTGTGTACTCTGAGTGTCCTGTCTGAAGCGGCCTCACCCTGTGTACCAAGGAGGGTCCTTGGTGTGGCCTCAAATTAAATTTCCCAACTAGCTAGCTGCCTTGCCTCGCTTTCCACGTTTCTCTCCGCGGTTCTGCTGGCGTCTGCCGCAGGCTTCCTCCTCTTCCAGAAGGCACCAGAAGCTGGGTGCTGTCCCTGGAAAACCAGCTCGCGGTGCTCCTCTGGGATTTCCTGCCCACTCACTTAGTGCCTGGTTACTCTCCTCTAACTCGTTTGCTGGGTAGAATCCCTGCCTCCGTGTGCAATCTGCCTGAACACAAGGCTGTGCCACCCTGTGGCATCCCAGCCGGTTGCGTGCCCACTAGATGCAGTTAGCGTGGGCACCGGTAGCTGCACCACCTGGCCCTGAGCTGCCCGCCCCGCTGCCCGCCAGGGGGCGGCAGAGAAACCACCCTGGGCGGCTTCTCGGCGAAACGCGAGGCCATCTTACCTTCCGAAAAACCCTGACCTGGCTCTGCAGCAGTGTGGACACTTGCCAGGACAAGCGACTGGCGGTGGCCCCCGGGGCACCGGTGTCCGCCTGTAGCTCGGTTTCCTGGCCAGGCCCCAGGCTTCACCTTGCTACACTGAGGCTCCGCGGAGCCGCGCCCATCTGGGTAAGGGTCCCTTCCTTTAAGCTCTTCTGCTCGCGGTGGCCCGGGGGCACGGGAAGACGCAAGAAAGGTGAGAGTTCTAACCAACAAGTCGCTTCCTCTGGCTTTAGAAGGGCTGGTAACTCCCTTGGCAACCACTCTTTGGTTGACCCTGGCCTAGCCTCCTGTGAAGTAAGACTAAGCCCCTTCAAGCTTATGTTCCAGTGGAATGTTTTTGTTTGGTTGCTTTCTGGTTTGCTTTGGCTTGGTTTGGTTTTGAGAAGCCCCGGTGGGCCTGGAACTCACAACCTAGACCAGGCTGGCCTCAAACTCAGAGATTCACCTGCCCGGGCCTCTCAAATGTTGCGATGAAAAGCACGTGCGCACCACCACACCCGCTCCACGCCAATTAGCTCTGCAGAAAGTGCGTGCAGAAAGGCCGGGCTGCCAGCAGATAGGGCTCTGTCACCGAGGAGGGAGAGGAAGTTACCCCTGCAGTCTTGGACCCGTGATGGGCTGGCAGCTGTGAGCAGCCCGTGTTCATCATTCCTGAGAGTTCCATCTGCGGGGCAGGCGGCGTAGGGTGGGCAAGGAGCAGTTGCTGACACCTTGATCCCGGCCAGATGTGAGTTTGGTTGTTGGAGGATGGAGTTCTTGTAAATAAGGGCCTCAGCCACCTGGCTGTAAATAAATTTGCTCTCTTACAAGGGGTGGGAGAAACGTTGGGTATCTGCAGTAAAGACGGGAGCCTTCTCAGCTCCAGACTCTTGGCAGCTTTAGTTAGAGGGTTCAAGAAAGATACACTGATCTGCCTGTGCCTTCTGAGGCTGGCAGCCTGCTCTGTGTCACACATGCAGCTGCTGTGAAGTGTGGCTCGGTGTGGGTGGGTACCAAGTGTGCAGCCGACCCTGTCCTCCTTCACGAGCCCGAGGGCTGTGCCGAGGAGCCGTACTGAGCAGGCCTTCCTGCCTGGCTGCTTCGGGAGCTGAGCGGTCTCACGTGGGTAGCTGAGGCTGTGGTGTCAGGGCCTTGGTGAGTGGGAGGGTGACTGTGCTGGGTTTCCTCGGCATGTCAGGGCCCTCCACCTCCTGTCGCCTGGCTAAGGAAAAAAGAAATGTGGTATAATACTGTTCTTGCTTGAGTTTATGAAGGGACGAGATACTGAGGGATATGCTTTGGGCAACAACCACACACTTAACACAACAGATTGTTTTGTGTGTGTGTGTGTGTGTTTTAAATCTACCTCCTTCCCCTTCATTTTTTTCCCCTCTAGGTGTGGCACTTAAATTAAAGGTTTCCAAACACCAGGCTGTATCTGAACCAGTGAGGAACTTAGGAGCCTCTGAGTCACTCTAACTATCGACTTAGCAAGATGCATTCACAATATCCAGAAAAACAAGATGTCTGTTTTATGGAGAGATGCTGGGGAACCAGCCCAAGGCCTCACGTGTCCCAGGCTAGGCAGGTCCCCAAACCTCACTGCATCCCCAGCCCTATTCTGGTCTCAGTGATACAGAACTAGCAGTGTAGGCTGTGATGGCTTATTTATTGTTATTTGTTTTAGATACTATCCTTTTCATCTCTAATTAACTTGTCACCTAAATGACTGTCTCAGTTTGAGACCTCCCTGCCCTAGAGAGCAGCAATGACTAACAGCTACGCAATAGTATTAGGCCCCTGCCAGTCTAAGCACTTTACCTAGGCATAAACCTCACAGTGGTATCAGGAGATACTACTGATCCCACTTTCGGGAAAATGACATTCTACTGCCATTCCAGGGGTTCTCAAGAGAGGGAAGAGACAGGCCTGTGTCATCAGATTTCAGGGTAACCGGGCAAAGACGAGCAGTGACCTTCACTCTGGCCTTGGCTCTGCAGTTCTCTGCTGAACAGTACTAGGAACAGGGAAGACTGGGTCTCCAAACCTCTTAAACCAGCTGAATCAGAACTGAAATCTGTGAAAACAGCCTATCTGCCGGAACTGGATTTGGGGGATTTTGACCTCATTTAATAAATATGCATCACTTTTGGAATGGTTACTGTGTGTAGAAGATAACCCTCAGAGGTGCAGCTCTCCTGTTTTCGTGTGCTCTCTAATTCAGACTTAGGTGCTGCAAAGGTCTTCCCTACTGGGCCGTCCTGCCAGCCGTGACGGTTTAGAAACCAGTGCTTACAGGTTTGCTCTGCAAACGCCTGTGTCACACAAGTGAGCATGCCCAAATGCAGCACTCACCTCATCTACATAGCTGACCCCAAACACAGTGGGACCAACCATCGGAGTATCGGATCAAAGGGTAGTGGCCACCCTAGGCCAGTAATAGAGTTGTACAGCCTTTGACCTGAAAGGGCCCTGGGGAATCATCCAGTCCATTTCCTCTGACGGATGAGTAATCTAAGGCCCAAGAAAAAGTGAGTTATCTAGAGGAGACATGCTACCAACAGGCAGGAGCAGAGCCCCATCCCAGCCTCTCAGCTCTGTCTAAAACTGCCGATCTGTGGTTGGAGCCATGTGTGGCTCTTTATATTAAATGCCTTTAAATTAAATCTCTGTCACAGTAGCCACTGTTGGAGTGTTCAACAGCCACTACATGTGGTTGGTAGCTGCCACCCTAGTGCAGAGTGCACAGAAAACACGCCCTTCATTGCAGGAGGCTTTATGGGTTATATATAGCACGGTGACTTTTGTCTGAAGGCGGTATGGGGACTGCAGTGCCATGGTTACCACAAGATAATGTGATGGCACTAGCAGCTCTGTAATAGTTCTGACAAAGTGGAATTTCACAAATGTAACGAGAAAAACAAAGTCATGCAAACCAACCGAGATAACTGCAGCCCGCCCCCTTAGTCCTCGATTAGGAACCCCGTCAAATGCAAACAAGAGTCTTTCAGGGACTGAAGGGCGGCCTGGCAGTTTAGAGGAGCCACACATGCCAGGTGGCTGGCTCACAACCACCCGGAACTCCAGCTCTGGGGGACTGGTTTCTTGCTTTTGTTTGTTTTGTTTCGAGATGGGGATCTCTATGTAGCTCTAGCTATCCTGGAACTCACTATTTAGACCAGACTGGCATCTGTCTCCGGAATGATTAGAGGTGTGCACCACCATGCCTCTGGCAGGTCAAAAGTATGAAAGTTGGTGTTAAATGTGACAGGAGCACATTTTAGGAGGAAAATAAGCCGAAGGAAGGAAGGCCGACCGCAGAGGACATTTTATGTGCTGTCTGTGTGGTGGATGAAGGCACACAAACCCTTTCTCCTCTTTGTAGCTTTACATTGTAACACCCAAGAAATGTGTCCTTAGAAAAAGCCAATGGAAAGAGAAATGAGTGTGTCCAATCCTAGAAGGCAGGCAGGCCTTCAAGTGGCCAGATGTGGATGGGGTACCCTCATCTACTCTAGATTTAACAGCTGAGACGGAGAAGGGTCAGAAGGTGACGCGGGGTAACAACTGTGGCTTCATCCTGAGGATCCCAGGACGGGACTCTGCTGGAACTCAGGCCTTTTCTTTGGATTGTGAAGCCCTATGACTGTTCACAGGGCTCACGTTCCCCTCAGACTTCCCTGTATCTCCTCCAACCCTTCAGGGAAGCCTCAACTCCACACGCCTGCCCAGCAGTGGTTTGGGGTACATAAATGCAATGCGGGGGCCTGCCCCACAGGTACACCCTTGCCAAGAGCCGAGTTCTGCTGAGACAGTTACCATGGGGGGGGGCAGTTCTGGAAATGAGCAGACAGAGCCCATCACAGGGGCGGGGTGGTAGGGGGTCGCAGACATGAGAGAGCAGAGCTGACTCTAGTGGGGATTGAGGTGCACAGAAGGGGGTAGGACTGTCATATATATACACGGCAAAAGGTGAACTCACATATGTGCACACATTACTGCAGACAATCATGGTGACTTGGACCAAGTCTGTTTAGAGATTTATTGATCAGATTGTTTTAGAAACCAACAGCAAACACTGACAAGGTACATAAGTACAGACTGGACATTTCAGGGTAGGTTTACTTGCTTGTAGGAAACCAGGGGAGGTGGAAAGCTGTCCTGATCACATGGCATGCACACCAGACTGCAAAAGGACATCCACACTATTTAACAGGACTGTGGCAAGTAGCTTTAAAGTAAGGCAAGCACTGTGTATGGCCTCGCACCCTGCGGGAAGAGCCAAGCCTGGGCCAGCCTCAGAGCAACTCCAAAGAGAGGCCTTCCTTTCCAGCCTGTCCCTCCAGTGTCTCCAGGAGATGCCTGCACTCTCCCTGCGACCCCACCAGCCCGGGCTTCCTGCCGCCTCCTCTCCATTCCTGAAGTAACTAGCACAACAGCACTTACAGCTACTTAGTGAAACTGGCCTTTTCTCAGAAAACGGCCTCTGACTCAGCCTGTGCAGACTAGGCAGGGCCTTAAAACCCTTCTCAAAGGTTTAACAACACTCACGTGGGAAGTACCCGAGAAGAGGGCGCTGCCTCTGAAGCACAACGCAGAACTCTGCTTATGACACGAGACAAGGGGAGATGTTTTTCTTCCAAATCGCACAAACTAGAAGGGTGTCTATACACATGGACGCTCCAGAACCCCACCGAGCCTGCTTCAGACCCTGCCAACGCTTCCAGAGTTCTAAGGTACCTGGGGACCAATGGAATTTACACCTATGGTAACCAGTTCTTGAAATGCATGGCTATGACAATAAACCCTCATTCACCCTCGAGTCCAACACCAGAACACAAGAAAGAACAAAAGGGAAAATGGTTTTTTTGTGCTACATCAGAGTGTTGGTGAGAGGGCCACTGTAAGTGTCACCAAGACCACAGAAAACCAAACTGACTCTAGAGGAGAGAAACCCAACACAGTCCAAGAGGGTCGTGTGCCGTTCCTGCACACCAGGCTGTCTATCAGAATGGAGAAGGCAACACCAAAGGAAAAAAACGGAAAAGCAAGTTTGTCAAGAACCAAAGAAATGTGTTCAAATGATGGGTTTCCTGTTCCTGTGAGACATGGCCTTTTCTTCCTACAGGAAGGAAGTGTTCTCTGGTCAGGAGGCAGTAGAGAACTCAGCAGCAGACCATGCTCAAGGGCACCATGGCGCCTCAGGGTTACCACCTGTGGCTTCATGCTTCAACCTCGAAAGCTACCTGGGCCACTGGAGTGGTGGCTGCTGCTAGCCCCTGTTCCGAGCTTCCTTTCCTTTCCTAACTACTAGTCCCTTAAAAAGGAGAGGGGGAGGAGTAGGATGGGGAAAGGTATGTAAAGAAATCGATTGCTTAACAAAAAAGTTGAAACACTGATTTTCTGTGGATTTCAACTGTCTGTGCTTTCATCTTTCGACTGTGGATAATCAAAGGCTTACGTTTAATCTAGAAATGTTAATATTTTAATTTTACATATATAGTTTTTAAATCTAGCTCTGTACTGGACATGAATGCTATAAAGTAAGCTTTTATACCGAGTCACCGGGTCATTAAAGGGGGCTTCCCGCCAGTGGAAAGCAGGCAAAGATCCAATCTATTATATACTGGTTTTTCTGTGAAGTGGAAAATACCTTATAGTGATGGAAGCACCATTTAATAAGGTATTATATTCCCAGATAAATTAGTGTATTAATATTAGGTTCTAATTCTTCACTTGGGCAATACTTTCAAGCGAACTTCCTTATTCCTGGGCAAAACATGCAAATAGAAGGCAGTATAAACAGGGATGGGAAAAAAATCCCACCTCTAACAAACCAAGGAACAGTAACTTTTTTATGAACTAGAATAAGAAAACATGGACTTGAAAAAATCCAGCTTTATCAAGAAGTTGGCTTATGATCACACTGACAATCCTTGGCATAATTTTCCTGTAAAGCAGTAAGGTGACTTGCCCAAGATAGGCACAAAAAGTAGTGCAGTGGCTATATCGTCATCACTCCTACATAATCTGATCAGACCATGTTTCTACATATTGCACTTCCATTTCCAGGACTGCAGGGAGATGCCCGGCACACCTCAAAGAGGCAGAGGGGCAGCAGGCATCGTCGCCTTCCCCACGCCAGGTGATGCAGTCGGGAACCCAGGGGCTGGTTAGAGAGAAACTAAAATGCTGGTGACCCTTCGGGAAAATCCAGTCCCCTTTACTCTAAGGCCTGATCTACAGTCATTTGGCATCCAGAACTCGTGCATACGAGCGGCTTACAGCACTCACTGCTGCTCACCGCACCATTTCACTAAAGACTTTAGACCAAACATGGACTTATAAGACACATATGGTCGTCGATGTCAGGCCTCCAACATCCATCTCAAAGAAGACAACCTCCGAAAGGCTGAAAAGGATGCCAGCAAGTCAGCTTGAGTCAGGCCCCTCTTCACTCTGTTCTAGTGGATCAGAGCCAGCGGCCTGCTTGTATTCCAAGGACCGTGCGAGACAAAACAGAGGCTGAACAATCAAACCAATGACAAAAATCCTGTCATCCTAGAAAACATGGCTTGTTAGTTCGGGATATAGTTCTGCCATGGTCCAAAGGCCTGGCCTGGAGTCACACAGTTTTGAACTCACAGAGCGGCTCAGGCTGACTTACTCTGGAGAGGGCTCCTTGATGGTAGGAGGTCAAAGCCTCACCAACAGGGAATGGCGAGATTTGGGGGATGGGACCCCTAGAAGAGCAGCTCCATTCCCTCCCTGCTCAGAAGTGACCCAAACTCACAGATAAGTGCTTCTCACAGGACGGTGAACAAAGGCTCTACCGACAGCCCACATGGACAGGACATAAGGCCTGTCGAGAGAAGAAGTCAAAAGACCTCCCGTGGACTGTGCACGGGGCAGGAACTTTTTAACTATAAATTAAAGGTGACTTTAAATCCACACAAATTAAAGAGATCGCTTTGGGGCTAAAAGAATAATGTTAAAGCTAGGTGAAAAAGAGGCACTTAAAGGAAAAATGTGTTCAAAATCTCCTGCATGTGTCTCCTCTGTAGTGGGCCTGCAAGTGGGCCTCCTGCATCTTGACTACACCTATGGATACCCACAGGCTCACACAAGCTACCCCCTCAACTCTTCTAGTAGTCTGAGGACAAAACTAGTGAAAACTTAGGTCACTTTTCTCCCTAGATTTAACTAAATAAAAGAGACCAGAACTAAAATCTCTCACGGAAACAAACAAACAAACAAGCAAATTATCCTGTCTCACTCCTGCTGGGTTCAAATGACACTTGCTTCTTGAGGAAGGACAAGCTGTGCGTCTTCCCTTAAGACCTTTTATCCAATTACAGGCAATTACAGCATCGTGTACACTGAAGCAGACAGCAAAGGAGGCAACAAGCTCAGGAGGGAATCCAGAACCACTGCTTGAGCAAATGCAAGGACATGGCCCAGAGATTGGAAAGAAACGACTTCTAAAAAGGAAACAGCTGGTATGATAGTCAGAGCCCATCGCCCCAAGCCGAAGCTAAGCGTCTGAAGGGTGCGGGCGCTATGCTCTATTCTACTGTCCTTCGACATCTACACCACGCACTTAGAATCTACAGTTCCTCGTGAAGAGGCTAAGACATATTTAAAGCCACTAATAAGCGTAGGGGAAGTTCAACACTGCCTGGAAAGAACTTGACGCCATACATTTACTTTAAAAGACAACGACGTGACAGTAACAGACAATGCTGAACCTCAGCAAGTCAATGCTAACCACTGGGGTATCACAAAGTTGAGGGGCTCACTGATCAAATGCTTGTCGAGGGTAAGTATATTTGCACCAGATCATCAAACACTGCTGCCTGAGTCCAGCCACTCAGACACATCTTAAACACTAATTCAACATCCACACTTAAGAACAACCTACAAGATTATCCAGGTCAGTCTTCTCACTCTATCTCAGACTTGTTGCTGGCTTTTTAAACTTGGTATTTGTTGATGATAATGCTTTAATCTGTGGTATCAGCTGACATGGTCATTCTGGTTAGAATTTCTTTAAAATAAAATAAAAAATGATCTTTCTTGATTCCTCACTTCATTAAGGTACTTTCAGATCTTCCCTCAGCTCCATCAAGAAAGAGGGAATGCATATGTGGTGCATCCGGGGCAGGAAGGAGGGAAGCAAAGAAGAAAGCACATGAGAAAATAAGATGTCCATAAACTTAAACCCATTCATGGAAAGGCATCTGATGTATTTTCTGAATAAGGCCTTGATCAGGGTAACCAGTCCTCTTTGTAGCACACTCTACACTGCCCATAAATAAAGAGTCTCTTTAAATTAACATTTCCAGTATCAATGAACAGTCCAGAAACTCTCATTTCAAGCGCTCGATGAGTTCCTGTGTTAGTCCAAGGTGCAGAAGCTGTGTTCGGGAGAGGTTTGCTAGGTTGGGGAAGGCCGCGAGCAGCTTCTCCCACGCCAGTTCCAGCAGGCTAGGTACCACCAGCCAGATCTTAAACAGTGACCCAGTCCGTTTGTTTTCATGGATGTTCACGACTCCTCCGTGAATGTACATGCAACCAGCCTACGAACAAATGGCAGTTAAAAGAAGACAAATTCAAATGGAAGAGAAAGAGCTACCAAGGCAGAAACTTCAACAAAGGAAAGGGAGCAGCATAGACCGAATCAAGGTGAGATGAAACAAAACCACCCCTCAGGCTAGAATTGCAATGAGGTACAACACCTGTATAACTGCCAGCACCCAGCACCACAGACACACAGTTTCTCACTGATCTGAGCCTATGCAGAAACCCAGAGTGCTTATATAATGAGTGCTAGTAAAGAAAAACTATGATTTTGGTGGGGTTTTTGTTTTGTTTGTTTTGATACAAGGTTTCATGCACGGCCTAACTAGACTCAAACTCTTAAACTCAAGTGATCTGTCTGCTTCCTGCATGCTGGAATTGCCATGTCCAGTCCTATAGTTTGTTCTTTTAATTTGCTTATGCTGTGTTTGGTTTTGTTCTTTTGGCTGTTCTGGAACTCATTCTGTAGGTCAGGCTGGCTCTGCCTCCTGAGTGCTGAGATTAAAGGCATATGTCACCACCACCTGGGGGGGGGTGTTTGTGTGTATTTCAACTGAAACTACAAACAAGTTTTTATTAATAATTAAATTTGGAGTATACTGAGTATACAAAATACCAAATGTTCGTAATACAAAAATGAAAAAAAAATCTTACAGTAGTATCTTTGATACCAAATATGGTACATTATTCTGCCCTCTTAGGAAACACCACATACTGAATTTCCTCTACATTTATAGTGCTCTTTTAAACTTGACGTGCTAGTATCTTCCTCTCCTTTTCTCTCCCATCTCCTCTCCAGCCCGCCTTACCATCTACGGTGTAAGAATGGCACACACAAACTCACGGGCGTGACAGCTGCACAGTGAAAATAGACGGGCTCTGGCATGGTGGCAGGGAGCTTCACCCACTGAAACGTCTGCAGATTCAGCTTCCAGATGTCTCCCAGGATCACTTCTCCGTTATAGCCCCCACAAATGAACACATCTGTCGACAAAGGAGAAAGCCAGCAGCACACAAAGGAAATGAGTTGCAGCTACAGCGTGTCTTCCGTGAGAACACATGGCTAGCTGACAGGTGGGCCATTCCTCAACAGAACTGGGCCATTTCACTGGGACAAAGGATGCCAGTGTCTACGGAGGCTACATGTCAGGTTCTCACATTTAAATATTTCTAGGTTTCAGGACACTGGAAATCAATAAACTGAGGTCTGGGGAAAGCTCATGCTCTGAAGGAGTGGCTATGCAGGCCCAGGGAGATGTCCTGGAAGGAGACGTCCCTGTTCCCAAGAGAAGCTAAAACTCCCACCAGGCAAGAAAACACTAATCAAAAACAAAACACAGCTACAAACCAGTTTTCAAATTCTTCTTTTGAGTAACATCTAAAGCATGCTTTTTTAAAAAATTTTATTACTAGTGACAAATATTCTCCCCATGGACATTTCACCTAGGAGAAATACTGCAATATGCAATCTGGGACCACAAAATGGGTCCTTCCTCACCCCTTCCACCCAAAAAGGTGAGCTGGGCATGGTGGTGCACACCTTTAGTCCTAGCTGGGAAGGCAAAAGCAGGCAGATCTCTGTGAATTCCAGGACAGCCTGGTCTACAGAGTGAGTTTCCAGGACAGCCAGGGCTGTTACACAGAGAAACTCAGTCTCAGAACCCCTCCCCCCAAAGAAGTCAAAGCTCATTTGATCTGTGTAGCTCTGGATAGGTAAGTTTTAACTACTGGTCAACTTTTAGCAAAGGCCATGTGACCTTTTAAAGGCCCAGAAGTTCCAACAGTATGATGCATGGCTCCCAGGAAGCAAATGAATAAATGGTTAACTCAAGTCTGGACCAAGTTTAAGTCAATACTTAATTAAACTATAAAATACACCAGAAACTTTTTTTTGGCTAGGATTCAAGAAAAACTTTAAAAGCATAGCCCCATTCTCAGAGGCAAAACAGAACAGTGTCACTACCTATAAATCTGATCCAAAAAGCAGAAGCATAATTTTTAAAAAGTCCCGGTGTGTACATAAAATGGCAGATAAATACTACTTAAATCCGAACTGGGATGCTAAAAGGATACAGGCTATCAAGTTCTTGGATATACCCCTTTACAGAGGTGGGGAGGAGAGTAGGGGCTGCTCAAGGAGGTATAAGTCAAACCATAAAATGTCCTGCAATTAAAAGGTGGGACTATTAGCCAAAGAAGAGTTAACATGCTTAAAGTGGCTGCTGCTTTCTGAAATCATACAAGGCCTTTGCTACAGGAGGACTAGGGAATGATCTCAGAGTTCTGACAGTAGATAGAGAACAGAATGGGCTTCATGCTCTAATATGCTGAAGACGTTATTACAACTTTAGTACAGTATGCACCAAGGTCTTACTGTGCAAGCACTCACAGTGCGGAACTATAAATCAAGCTAAAAGATCCAGTGGTACAGGAAAAGCTTATTTGCCATCACCTTTATAGTTCTTTTAACAGAGAGCCCAGACACAAACTAGTTTACATTCTGACAACTCCAAGAGACACAACTCTATCTAGAGTTCCCTTTAAGTTTAAATTACAAGAAATGGGTGTAGTCCAAAATCATGCACCCCTTTAGAGGAGCTAGCCAGGAAATCAGTTAATCTCAGCAGGTGAGAGTACAGAAATGAATCAAAAGTTTATTTAGACTCCATACCATTTTTTATTTGAACACAACTGTGACATCTTCGGGCTGCAGGAAAACCTGTCAAACACATAAATACAGGGGTTCCATTATTCAAGAGAACAGTGGGTCCTTCCAGTCCGTCCTGATGAAGTGTCAGGGAAACAGCAAGGAGAAGGGTGGGGTGACAGTGGCTCAGATGGGCGGATTTTAACTTCTGATTCTCCTTTCTTTTCTCCATTTTTGTGTGAGTATGTGTGTATACTACATGTGTGTGCCTCAAAGACATCCACAGAGAAACCACAGTGAATGCAGCGCAAGTTACAGGCACTTGTGAGTTCCTGATGTCGGGAGCTGAAGTCAGATTGTGTGAGCTCTTAACCACTGAGCATTTCTCTAGCCCCTAAGCCCATTTCTTATTTCTCCTGTATTTTTCCTCCTGTTCCACAGCATATAATTCAGTGATCCCTGCTAAAATCTCTCTGCTCAATTGCTAAGGGAAGTAACAACTGCGATGAAGAATAAAGTAACTTCTAATGCCTTTTTTGTTTTTTCGAGACAGGGTTTCTCTATATTGCTTTGGAGACTGAACTGCAACTCACTCTTGTAGACCAGGCGGGTCTCGAATTCACAGAGATCCTCCTGCCTCTGCCTCCCAAGTACCGTGTGCCACCCAACACCCAACTGACTCTTCTAGTGACATTTTAATAAATATTACTTAAGAAAATTACCATTACTCCCCCAAAACAAGTATAAGATACATTTGCTAAAGACAGGAATCAATACTTTTTTATTTAATTACCTATTTTTTCATGAGGTTTTGTTGCGATCTCCTCCCATGCATTTGTTTCAAGGTTGTATGCATGGATCTTGGAAGGAAAAAAAACACATATGTACAAGTAAATAACTGTAATCTTAGTTGCCGTGTGAAAGCAGATTTTTACAGTAGACATTGGGGCAGTTTTAGCAAACAGTGCGAAGGCAAAGCTAGGATGAGGAGAGCAGTGGTCGTGCCTGTCAGTGTTCTGTGTGCGGCTCTACTCCTTTCACTTCTCCAGGGGCGGGGCGGCAGCCCTGCTAAGAGAAGGGGACAAGGCAGGTCTGGGATTTCTAACTGTGACACTTCTGAAATGCCATGGGGTGGATGACTAAAGCTCCCTGGAGTCAGTGGTATGCAGCCCTAATCATGTTATCCCTTCTAGAGGCACTGCACCAAGAGGATGCGACATTCTGTGAAAACTGGCTCCAACTATAATTACTACCATCGTCCTCATCCGCCAGCATGTTCATCAAGACTTTGAGCATGTGATGAACGTGCCTATCAACTACAAGCATATTGGGACACTGAGTTCAACTTTCTGTCATAGAGAACATTGTTCTTCAACAAGTACTGATGAAGCTGCTCGGAATGCAAACAACACAGGATCATCGTGATTAGTAAGACACATGCCTCTGTCCACTGTCTCCTACTACCTTTTACTTCTGTAAGGAAAAAAAAGTACCTTGTTTAAGGAATAGGCTGTCCAGGAAGTCCCTCCTCCCAAGATGTAAATCCTCTGCCCATCATGAGCAATTTCATGTCTGTATCTGAAAATACCAAAAAATATAACTGGGTGAAAATGACCTTCCTAAGGGTCAGCTGTGAGGTTTCTATTAACTAAATATTACCATTATTTATGATGATAGACTATTAGAAATGACCCAAGTGTTAACTAATACTGAACTAGTTAAATGAATTATAGCCTATGCATAAAATGCGTTAGTATACAACAATAAGAAATAAAGGAAGGCAAATCCACCCCTAAGTTCTTTTCACACCATTAAGTGGAAAGGAAATGAACTCCATGTTAAACAGGCTGCATAAAGGAGCCGGAAGAAGGAGTCATGCTCTCAGCCTGCTCTTACAGGAGTCCACTCCTTCACTGGCATTAGAGGTACTTCTTCAGGAAACCGGCGACGGCATACACTGAAGACCAGCGTACACATCCAGCCTTGTGCCCTGGACAACTACTGGATTCTGGGACCTGGCATTGGCAGATAGCCATTGTTGGATGAGCCGGACCATAGTCTGTAAGCTATTCTAGTAAGTTCTCTTTATTATTCTATACCTTCTGTTTCTCTAGGGAACCCTGAATAATACAGGTTCTCTTGGAACTGGAATTCCACAAAGATTTATTTATTTATGCATTTTATGTCTGGGGTGTTTTGTCTTCATGTACTCTGCACATCAGAAGAGAGAATTGAATCCCATGGGACTATGGTTTTAGATGGTTGTGAGTTGCCATATAGGTGCTGGGAATTGAACTTAGGACCTTTCGAAGAGCAGTCATATCAACCATTGAGCCATCCTTTCAGCCCCTCAGAATTGGAATTGTTAATCTTCCTACCTCAGCCTTGTGGTGATGTTTTGTTTATGATCTAACAAAGCTTGCCTGAAGATCAGAGTGCAAAGCTAGCCACACTAGTCAGCCATAGAGGCCAGGCAGTGGTGGCACACACCTTTAATCCCAGCACTGGAGAGGAATACACGGCGGATGAAGACAGTAGTACAGTGTATTCAGTCTGCAGTCACGCTGAGGACAGGATCACCCCTTTTGGTCTGAGTTTTGGTAGAGGTAAGAACTCTCTAGTGGCTGGCTGCTTTGCTTTTCTGATCTTCAACTGGAAACCCAATATCTGTCTTTGGGTTTTTATTATTTGTGTTATACAGCCTTCCAGTGGCAACCATATATATGTCCATAAAATAACTAAAAGAAGGCAACTATGTGAAAATGCTTTCTTTATATTTCCTTAAAAGGCCCTAGTGCTCTCAGCATAAATTATATCCAAATAACTGCATTAACAACCACCTCCAACCCTTCCCACTAACTCTGCAATAGCCAGCCCACCAACATCCTACTGTAAGGACACTTGAGTTCAGCAAATGCAGACATTCTTTGTAAAGGCAACAAAAGACACCCAATTAGTCTGAACAGAGGGAATTAAAAAATATTCACTTTGTTCTTAAACTCAGGAAAATACTACTAAATTTGTCATTAAGTTTAATTCTAAGAGGTAACTTCCTATGGAAAGAGAAGTGAAGGGATGACGCCCCTCCCTCCCACCCACCCACTGTCCATCATCTCTCTTCCCATCCTCTTTTCCTTCCATCAATCCTCACTGGCCCTCATTATAGTTTTTATTGGCAACTGCTACCAAACATTACTAATGCTTACTACTGAAAGACTAAAAAGTACAAGAGAAATAATATTTTAAAGATTCCACACTTAGAGGAAGACATATTCTCATCAATAGCTCTTTCTTTACCGTGATCTGGACCCATGTGCCAGTTAGCCACTCTATCAAGGGAGTTTCTCTTCATAATGCCAAAGGTCTGGAAGACCTCAAAGCCCTCGGCCCCAGTGACTCCCTCACCTCTCCTCCGGCAGGTCACAGGACAGGTTGTTTGGTTTGAGTTGTGTCCACACCATGGTGTTGAGATCTAACCTGTGCAGGTCTGTGCTGTAGATGTAGCCGGTTGTTCCCCCAAAGACATACAGGGAACCATTGATGAGAGCCATGGCCTGTAGGAAGAAGATGAATAAGGATGACCCCTTACTCCTTAACACTTTATTACAGAATGGAAACTTAGCCAAAACTCATGTCTTATCAACATCATCTTCTCTTTTTGTTGTTGTTGTTCCAGTTTTGGTTTCTGTTTGTTTGTGGTTTTTTTGTTCTGTTTTGTTTTTGTTTTTGTTTTGTTTTGTTTTCTGTGTAGTCCTGGCTGTCCTGGAACTCACTTTGTGGATCAGGCTGGCCTCTGCCTCCCGAGTGCTGGGATTAGAGGCATATGCCATCACTGCCTGGTTTCTCTTTTCCTTTTTAACCCTTTAAAATTTTAGAATCTTAGGGTAGAGACATGGCTCAGCAGGTAGAGCTTTCTGCTGTCCCAGGGAGCTGGAGTCAGTTCCCTGCATCCATGTTAGGCAGCTCACAATCAGCTCCCCAGGCACCTGTGCACAAATGCAACATAAATTAAAAAATCAAATATCAGAGCTGGAGTGATGGCTCAGCAATTATGAGCACTTGAGTTCAGTTCCAGTACCTACATGGTGTTTCACAACTATCCTATAATTCTAGTTCCAGGAGATCCAACACCCTCTTCTGACCTTCATGGTACTAAACATAGACTATGCCTAAACACAAACTACATCTAAAAATAAAGTATCAGACTTTGACTCAGGTGTGATGGTGCTTCCTTATAATCTTAGTACTCAGGAGGCTGAGGCAAGAAGAACAGAAAGAAGTCTGAGTCTAGATTAGAGGCTCCATAGTGAGTGCCAGGCCAACCTGAGCTACAAAGTGAGACCTTAAACCAAAAATCCCTACCAAAAATCTCAAAAACTAAAAGTTAAAGGGCTAGCAAGATGACCCAGTGGGTAAAAGTGCTAACCATGCAAGCCCAACCCTGAATTCAACCCCAGAAACCACAGTGAAGGGAGACAACCAACCCTAAAAGTTCTTCTCTGATCTATACCCTTGAGCTGTGGCATGTGTACACACACACACACACACACACACACTCTAATAACAATAAATAAAAAATTTGAAAGGTTAAAAATAAATCAGACCCTAAAACCAGGTGATCTGACATTTACCTATAATCCCAACTAAAATGAGGCTGAGGCCAGCCTGTGCAACATGTGAAGCCTTGTCCATGAATGAATGACTAAATCTTTTTCTAGAACCCGAGGGCTGTTTTACCTTTGTCTGTACACAATAAAGTTTTGCTAGTTCTACCTAGAAAGGTATCTGTTAGGTGATTTGATGTGGGATGTCCTTCTATATCCTGCAAATACATGTTGCTTTTATTGGTTGGTGAATAAAGCTGTTTTGACCAATGGCCAGGCAAAATATTGCTAGGTGTGAAATCCAAACAGTTATGGAGGGAAAGAAGGAGTCAGGGAGACTCCATGTAGCCACTGGGGAAGCAAGATGTGAGGTAACCAGCCACGATCCTCATGGTAAAGTACAGAATAATAGAAACAGGTTAATTTAATTGTAAGAGCTGGTTAGTAATATGTCTGAGCCATTGGCCAAGCAATTGTAATTAATAGTAAGCCCTAGAGTGATTATCTTATAAGCAGCAGCGATGACTTGAGGGTGGGAGGGAAACTGGTCCAGTGGGACTGGACCAGACAGAGAAAAACTTCCAACTACAGTGATTATCTTAGAGTCAAGAATGTAGGGACTGTGAGGAGAAGCATTTCCACTGAAAGCTACCTCTCTTCCTAAGTATCTGAAAAAAGCTCGCCCAAAAAGCAGCAACAGATGGAAAGCAGTCTAGTACTGTCCTAGAAGTATGGAGCTCAGAGCTGACATTTCCATCAGACTCCTCTTCAGTCACTGCCACAGTGACTTCGTAGAACTTGAGCAGCCCCTGTGGTGAGATAGAGCCCCTTTCAGAGACAAAGTGCAGAAGTGTTTAATCACTCCCATGTGCAAGACAGCTGAGCCCCAAGCCAACTGTGGTTACTCCAAGTTCCACCACTGGTCTCAAAAGTCTTTCTGGACATAACTTTACAAACCAAAGATTAAACCAGGTGGTGGTAGCACATACCCTTTGTCCCAACACTTGTGAGGCAGAGGCAGGCGGATCTCTGAGTTCAAAGCCAGCCTGGTCTATACAGAGTGAGTTCCAGGACAGTCAGGGCAACACAGAGAAACTCTGTCTCAGAAAACCAAACTAAAACAAACAAACAAAAATCCAACACTAAAGGTTAAACTGACCTGCAAATAGTTTCTACATGCTTTATTTAATTCAGCTCTGTGTTAAGTTTCTTGATGAGCTACACACTTCTTAGAAAATAAAGTTCTTCGTAGAACCCCATATCAGAGCAGACTCAGACCATGCTTTATAAAGCTCAGACTGCACTAGGTTGGTGTAGTTAAAGAAACATCTATGTAAATCTAGCAATAATGGTACTGAGAAGATGGCTTGGTGGGTAAAATGCTGCTGTGCAAGCACAAGGACCTTAGTTCAACTCCTATGCCCATGTAAAACAACAAACAAACAAAACAGGAGCCGACATTGGTGGCGCACGCCTTTAATCCCAGCATTCAGGAGGCAGAGGCAGGCGGATCTCTGTGAGTTCGAGACCAGCCTGGTCTACAAGAGCTAGTTCCAGGACAGGCTCCAAAGCCATAGAGAAACCCTGTCTTGAAAAACCAAAACAAACAAACAAAACAAAACAGGAGTGGTGATATCCACTTGTAAAAGCAGAGTTGGGGAGGCAAGGTCAGGCAAATCCCTGGAGCTCACTGGCCAGCCAGGCAGACCAGCCTCATCAGCAAGCCCCAAGATCCCAGAGAGAGAGAGACTGTCTCAAAAAGAAAGGAGAGATAAAGGTGGGTACAGTTCCTAAGGAACAATACCTGAGGCTGTCCTCTAGCTGAACACAAAACACAAAACTCACACTCTCTCCCTCTCCTCTCTCCCTCCCTCCCTCCTCCTCTCTCTCTCTCATACACACACACATACACACACACACACACCTCTATCTCAACAAAGAATGGTAAAAACAACAGAGGGGAATGGTAAGATTTGTGAATTTACTTTACATCTCCATTAAAACAATGTATTCTGGCACTGCTCTAGACTAGAAAAATATGAACTAAGTACATTCCCCAATAATTAGCCAGATTAGTACCTGTCCATATATACGACTGGGTCTCTTCCCCCGACAGCTGAGTAAAGCCCACCTCTTGTACTTGACGTTACAGACATGGACATCGTTGCCGTTGCTCTCACCAAATGGGATGCCCGTGCCTCCAAACACTAGCAGGTTGTTCCCGTGCAGCACCACTGGGAAGGAAGAAGCACACATCCCCCTTAGGCAGTTGTTTCCTGAAGTGTGCTGCCCACGAACCCAGACCATCTGAAAAGCTCAAACATGTCTACCTTAATGATCTTATTAAGACTGCTAATATCGAACTATAGATTCCTCAGAAAATGGCTTAATTCATACTGTGTGCATTCTCACATGGTTCACTGTTCACAGCCAAAATACACTTATAGAACTCATTACCTAAAACAGTGTGCATAGCAATGTCAAGTCTATGAACGACAGGATACCATTGCTGTTCAAGACCACTCAAATACACAGCAAACCAAAGGAAAACTGTCTATCATCTTTGCCTTGGAAAAGAACCTGTAGGACTCAGATTGTGGAATCAAGGGATCATTCTGTCGGAGGTATGATCTCTATATTTTAAACTATGGTTTCTGTCAGTTTAATCATCCACCAGATAAAAAGATATCCTGAAGACAAGTTTGGTATTCAATCTTTATCTATTCTGTTTCCCACAATTTATACAACCTTCCCTTTCTCCTTTCTTCCATCCTTCCTCTGTCCCTCTTATTTCAGTAGCTTCCCAACTTCCCCACAATTCGTTAACTCACACACCATAGTGGTTAACAGTCTACACTGTAGTGAATAACAGTCACTGTAGTGATTAACATGAATTGTAGTAGTTAACAGTCTGCATCCTAGTGAGGTCAAGAGTTGGATTTAAATCTAGTGACTTCAGGAAAACTAGTTAACCCGCCTAACTTAACTTTCCCAACAACCCTATGAGGTAGGAACTATAAATGTTATTTCCCTCTCTCTTTATTATTCCTTTCCTCTCTCTCCTCTGTCTCCTCTCTGTGCTAAGTTTGCATCCAGGGCTTGGTACACTCTACCACTAAGAAATGAGCCCAACCTACACTTTTAGAGATCATAAACAGATACAGAAATGGCAAATGTTTTAATTCCTCTGCTTATTTGTTTTCAGGAGATAAGGTCTTGCTACATAGCCCAGGATAGCCTTGAACTCATCGCAATCCTTCTATCTCAGCCTCCCAAATGCTGGGATTCTAGGCATGTCCTACCATGCCTAGTAAGAACAGCTTGAATAACTTGCTGATGGTTCCCTAAAAAGAGCTAGGATTCAATCACAGACAGTCTGGCTTCAGAGCATGCACTCTTAGCCATTATTCTCAGGGCGTCTATGAAATCTCAGGCTCATTTGTACAATGGCAATCACTGTAGAAACTTAACATAGTGATGCTGTAAGGAGGTGAAGTCCTTCACTTAATAGCTATTAACGGTCATAGCTGCAACTTCATTTTTTCATTTTGACTACATTCTCCTAACATATATATACATATATGTTACATATACATATATACATACATAATACTTTATAATTAACCCGCTGAGACATTGTTAATCTTACTTTATAGGCAAATCAAGTTAAAACTCATCTGGCAATCCAATATTATACAGTTAGATTCAAACCCAGGAACTCAGGGATTCAAAGACATCACACTATATTATCATTGCAATGAAATGTCTCTTCAGTGACAATACTTAATCATGTTACAATAGTGTAAATTATAACAAAGAACAGGTGACACTGAACCTGACATTTCAGTTGGTTCACAAAGTCAAAATTTCAGAACTGCTGGCACTTACATGACATAGATGCCAATTCCCGGGGCATGTAGCCGTCTGTGCCCATCTGGTGCCACACGCCTGTTGCAAAATGATACCTCCAAAGCTCCCTGAAGAGAGGGTAGTCTTCATTATCTGGGCCTCCTGATTCATCATAGTCTGGGTTATACCCTCCGAACACATAGAGGTTGGTATTATCAGCCACACAACGATGTCCACTGCGGGCTGGGGGAGGTCTGTGGCCTAAGGAAGAAGAGGACAGTTTTCCAAAAGTGGCCCACAGATGAAGAGCACAAACAACACTAGTGACAACCATGTGAGCTCTCAAAGGGGGCAGGGAGGGATCCCAACAGAGCATATGGCATTTACTTAGGTTATTTCATATATTTGCACAGACTACTTAAGATTTTAAAAAGCTAGTCTCTATTTTATTTCATGATTTCTAAATTTCAAAGACTAAGAAAGATTTTTCCCAGGAGAGGTGACACAGCATGGTAAACTCAAGGAAATGGCTGACGATATGGAATTCAAGAAAAGGAAGAGGAGAGGCCTAGTACTTCAGAGGTCAGAGGTCAGGTTTCCTTACTGTTTAGGGGAGAGCACAGGCAAACTGGATTAAACTGTGACTACTGGAGAAAGCAACCACAAACATGAATGAGTCATGCCTAAATAACACACACGTAAGCATACACTTTAAAGAAAGCTGGCTCTTATGTGGTCAGAGCAAAATTAATTCTCTGGATACTATTCCAAAACTTTTCAAAGAAAATCCTGCATTTATTCCAAAGAACATCTTATATTCTGTTTAAAGTTATTACTAAGAAAAGCTATTTATGAAAAAAATGTTTAACTCAAAATGATCAAAAATTTAAAAATGGCCTCCAAGACTCCAAGGTATTGGTAAAGATTCTGGCTAGGACCCCAGGACCACATACAAAGCAAAGCCTGGCAAACAGGAAGGAGGCAAGTTCCAGAATTTAGAGATTTTTTTTTCTTTATGATACAGAAGTGAAACTTGCCTTGTGCATGGTTGGCAAGCATCCTGCCACTGAGTTACAGCCACAGAGCCTTTCTATAGCTCCGGTTACATTAACTAGCCAGGCAAGCTTGTGGTGCAAGCCTGGACACTAAGCTACTCGGGAGGCTGAGTCAGGAGAACCATAATTTCAATCAGAACAGAAGTTCAAGACCAGGCTGGGCAATTAGCAATAGTCTGTCTCAAAATTAAAAAAAAAAAAGCTGGGGATTTGGCTCAAGTAGAGACTTGCCCAGCATATTCAAGGCCCTTGGCTTAATCCCCAGTATACAATAAATAAATGATGAAATTATATACACATATATTAGCTCATTTAAAATTATTTGAGATCATTTTAAAGGGTGAAAAAAAGCCCACTACTTTATATTTCTATTATCCTTACAACTTCTTATACAATCTATATAAACCCTCAAACAGTTACAGAACCAAACAAGATAAAATACAACATGGACTAAGAGGATATTATATTTGCTATAGTCCTAAAAACATCTCTATTTTCATGTACTACAGATATTAGTATAATGTACATTAATACTTAGGGCACTGCTAGACACCCAATAAATATGCTTCACTAATAAGTATCTATTACCAACCTAATAAGGCCTTTCATGTCTTTTTAAGCAAAAATCCCACTTTCTAGGGTACACTTTAGAACAAGACTTGAAAAACTATGCAGAGAACTAGAGCAACCGAAAAACAAAGCAACAATGAATCTCGTAGTTACTCTGCTCCATGTCAGTCCTATGTGCAAATCACTGACAATCCTTGAGGGCCTGGGTCAAGCATCTGAGTCCTCTGAGGCTCAACTACTCCCTCTACTCACTAGAGCTGAGTCATCCTCACTGCTCAGCAGGCCTTGAGGGTTTCCTTTGATCTTGCCTAGCCTACCTGGCCTTCAAGTCTCGGGTGGCAGGAAAGCATGTATGCAGCCTCCTGCTTAAATGTCGGGGCAAACCTAAACAGTTATTAGATGGGAACAGTGTCACTTCCTAAATACAGACAATTACAATCAGCTGGCAAATTTACAAATGAGCTGTGATTTAACCTAAGTCAAGAATTGAGTTTCCTTCTGGCACACTGGAAACACAGGAGAGTTTAAGACTGAGCAAGGGTTCCCATAACATCTAGGTTGAATCCAGGTTCTTTCAACCAGGACCATGTACAAGCCAGGACCTTCACTGAATCTGTTTCCTCATCCATGCTGGGGACAGTATCACTGTGCCCCATATAAGTGTTGTTTTTAAATGTTCACTGGATTACGTATGTATCTTTCTAGGTGACGGTAAGCTATTTGAGGGAAGAGAAGTGTATGAGCATCCCCTTTTCTATAACTAAACCTAAGGGTCACAGGAACACTCAACAATGTTGAGGATAAACTACCTAGTAACTGATTTTTCTCTACTCATTTCATCCGTTTGTTTTACTAATGCAAATGGAGTAAAAGTTTCTCAAAGGCTAACAGCACGTACTTATCCTGCATCACCCACAACACTGCTGGAAAAACCAAATACGTCCTAAAGTTTCCCTGAGTTTAACTTTAGGCCAAAGTAAACAATGGCAGGGACGATCAAGACGATGTCCAGCTCTATGGACTCTGACATAGTTTATTCCAAGATATATGGCATGGAGCCCAATGGCAGAGCAGGTGCTTAGAACATGCCAGGCCCTGGCTTCAGTCCCCAGCAGTAAAGGAACAAAGGGGACGAGGGGGGAGAGAGTGATCCAGGGGACAGACAAGTGTTGGACTGTGAAATGATTTTTGCAAGCAATAAGTACATCTAGGAATTAGCAACACAAACTTAAAACAGTTGCTATGCTCAATAGCCAGGAACTAAGAATCTTTAGGATGTTATTGTTTTTTCATTTCCAGGAGCCATTAGATAATTTTAGGTTTTTACATTTTGGGCAGGTGTGAACAGAATACAATAACATTCTAGGACTTCCTCTCCGTGGACATGGAGCAGAGAAGTGTTCTAAGTTTATTACAAACTATCTTTGTGATAAACATAACTCATGTGAATCAAATACTGAGGCAAAATAAAAAGATGATTTGACATAAAATGCATCTATTCATTCACTCTAAGTCCAGATATTACTTAACAGCAGCTGTGAACTGTTATCATGACAGGTGCTGGGCCAGTGACACTATCTCTAGGGCTTACATTGTAGTTCTGCCCTGCACAGCACAGTAGTTCCTGGCCACACTTGAAATGTGGCTGAGCCTAACTAAGATTTGTGTTCAAAGATTTAGCATCTCTAAAAGAATGTAAATCACCAGTTCTATGGTAATGATATGTTAAGATGATATGGATTATCAACATCATGTCTTGTTTTTCATGTGGCTGCTATAAAACTTAAGTTTGTACCTCGTGTTTCTTTCAGATAGTCCTGGGCTAATGTAACAGCTAACTTGTGTTGGTCTCATGGTCTCTTAAAATGAAAGGACTGGACCAAGAGCGTTCTGTCACAGCCTCTGCAGCTGCACTGAGTAACTAACCTTCCCGCAGAGTTGACTCACGAATCAGAAACCTATTCACTTTTAATAAATCACAGCAATTTATCAGGAACCAACCATTAATTTATCATATGGCATATAGCACAGGCTCCTTGACCTTGACAAAATGAGATTGGGTTTTAGTCTAAAGTCTGAATCTTCCATCAAGTTTTTGGCTAATAAAATCATCCCCAGGTTTGGGTTATCTGGCTCCAGAATTCTCACTAGGAAACACGGGTACAGGGTTTCACAGCGAGCTCAGCAGTAAAAGTGCTCACCCCCAAGCCCAAAGACTGGCATCACTCCTGGAATATACATGGCAGGAGAGAACTAACTCCTGACAGCTGTCCTCTGCGCTCTCTCTCTCTCTCTCTCTCTCTCTCTCTCTCTCTCTCTCTCTCTCTCTCTCTCTCTCTCTCTCTCTCTCTCTCTCTCTGACCCCCACACACTCAAAATATAAGAACTTTTAATAAAAAGGCAAATGTAGAAGTGAACAATGGAAAATGAACCACTCCCTGAGGTGATCTAACTAACAACCAGAAGAGACATGTAGCTGTGAGACCTTGGACCTGGCTTTCCTAAGTCAAGCAATACTCTAACTTAGGGTAAACAGGAGCTATAGTGACTAGGGAAGTGGGTTTGAATTTGTAGCAGAAACCAACTAGTTGTCTAAGATTATATAACAGATGATTAGGTCAGTCCCAACAGTCCATTATTACAAATAATATTGTAATAAAGTTTCTTCTGCCGGGAGTTGGTGGCGTGCGCCTTTAATCCCAGCACTCAGGAGGCAGAGGCAGGCAGATCTCTGTGAGTTCGAGGCCAGCCTGGTCTACAGAGCGAGTTCCAGTACAGCCTCCAAAACAATACAGAGAAACCCTATCTCGAAAAACCATAAATAGTTTCTTCTACTTATTCATATGAAAATGTATGAATATATCTGGAAATAGAACTTTTTGGTCAAAGGAACACACGTTTCAAATGCTCACAGATAAAACTATTGTACAGCCATATTGTTCTTCCAATAGCTGAACTGAACCAATTCATACTCCTAAATATGTATATGAAAGTGCCTATTTTGTTCTTTCTTTGACACAAGGGTCTTAGGTAGCCCAGGATCACCTCAAGTTCTCTACATAGCCAAGGATGATTTGAGCTCCAATTCTCTTACCTCTACTTCCAAAATGCTGGGACTACAGGTATTGGTCACTATGCCCAATTTTTACAGTACTGGGGATGAAACTCGGGACTTCATGCATGACAGGCAAGTATGCTACCAACTGAGCTATATATCCCTCCCAGCACTGTTGTCTTTCTTGCTGCTTTTATTGAAACAGGGTCTGGATACATAGTTTGGGCCAGGCTTGAACTATGTTGAGATGGGGTTTCACTATAATTCCCTGTGTAAACCAGGCTGGCCTTGAACTCATAGAAATCTGTCTATGCCTCTTCAGTGCAAGGTTTAAAGGCATGCACCACTAAATCCAGATAAGCCTCAAACTATTGATTTTCATCTACCTCACAAGAGTGCAGTAAAACATTTTTTTGTTTGTTTTGTTTTTCGAGACAGGGTTTTCTCTGTGGCTTTGGAGGCTGTCCTGGAACTAGCTCTTGTAGACCAGGCTGGCCTCGAACTCACAGAGATCCGCCTACCTCTGCCTCCCAAGTGCTGGGATTAAAAGCGTGCGCCACCAACGCCCGGCAGAAGCGTAA